CTGCGCGCGGAGTTATTACCGCGTGTAAGGCTCTGCCCTGCTAATTCCGGTTTAAGACGCTGACGCTAATCCCGGTTGCGCTGTCCGGTCACCACCCCAGGCCCTCCGCGTCGCTTCTTCGTTAACTGTTCCCTCTAATTCCCCGTCCCTCCCGCGCCCGCTCTCCGCTCGTTTTCCGGCTGTTCCTCTGTTTTCTTTATTAGTTGTTATATCCGTAGAACTTTTTTTCCTGCCCGTTGTCATTTAGCAGTGCCGGCTCTCCTCGAGGGTAAATGCCTTACGGACGGGGGAGGCTTTTCCTTAAAGCCCTGACTCTCAGACCTGATTATCTGACACTGCTTTCGTTCTAACGATGTGATTTTGTTATTGCACGGGGAGAAGCTTGAAAGGCTCAAAACCTGCGGAGAAATTAAAGTATCCTTATATTTTATTTGATGAACCCGCTAGTTGAAGCTCCTCCATCGCGTCGTCTCCCGAGAATTCTTGGAGTTAGGCTTGGAAAGAAACTGCCGGTCGCCATGTACGCTTCTAGCTTAGCATCGCCGTTCCCAAATAATCCCTTCATCTGCTAAGAGATCTGCTCGCTCCTTTTCCTCTCCCTCCTCCGGTCGCAGCGCAGGGCTGGGGAGGAGGAGCCGTCCCCTCCCCGCTCTCCCCAGCCGACGTGGTGGCAGATTTCCCCGCTGACGTCGAGTTCCCAAGAGTGACCAGATGCTCTCCGAGATGACTCCGGTTTACTTCATCCCCACAGGGAGATGCTACTAAATTTGCTCCTTTCCCTTTTTTTAGCTGATTCGGGCTGAAAGCAAGAGGCTGAACAAGCCGGCGGATGCGGTGGAGAAAAGGGGACCGTACATCATGAGCAAGCCTCCCTCCATTCACGCCAAGCTCCGTAAGCGATGCTCGCCGTTGTCCCAGGGACTCTGCCGGGATTCGGGGAGACATCTGCGCCTCTCGCCCAGGGCGGGAGTGACCGAAAGTGGCCTTTTTATTCCTTGGTGGGATAAAACCATTAAAAAAACCCCCATAAAAACCCGTAGGTGCTGCCTATGGAAGGCACTGCAGTGCCCCCGTGCTCTCCCTACGATGTCCAATCCCCAATGTCCCCATCCCCACGTCCCCACTGCCACGTCCCCATCCTCATGTCCCCATCCCCATTGCCACGTCTCCA